CACACACACACACACACACACACACACTCACACACACAAGTCGACGTGTTGTTTATGATCCGTCCATAAAAGTGCCACGGGACGCCGACACTCCACAGAACAGCGCAGCGGCCTTCCAGCGCGGCCTCTTCATGTTTTAACACTCAGATCAATAAAAATCTGCATAAACTGAAGCCTGACCGGATAGAACTCGGAGCCGCTGCTGCTGCTGAAACATGGAGCGCGGGAATCAGTCCGAACCGTTCTGCTGTGCCCGCTGATACCGGCCTCCAACACAACCTCTAGGAAACGTATTATCAGGCGAGAGAGAGAAAAACAAAAAGAGTAGAATTGAAAAACAAAACGTCCGTAAACGTTCTGACCCAATGCGTCGCTCTGTCCGTCCGGGCTGCGTTCGGAAGCCGCCGTTGCGCGCGCTTGTAGAATATGTTCCTGAAATGAGAGAAGCCGCCTTGCATAGCAGATAATACACTATATACTGTATGTATAAAAATAGAGCTGATTCTTATTTGTTTTTAAATGCAACACGTTGAGTAAAGAGTTGGACTGTGGTGACGGAGACGGTGCCGTTGGTTTGAGTGTGCGGCGCGCGGACCTGTGCCACGCGTGGATCTGCGCGCACTGGAATGAAATGCGTAAAAGAAGTAGCAGCCGTGGAGGATTTGTACTGGCCAGTCTAATTAAAAAGTGTCGTGTCGGTTCTAGAGTGTTTATCTGAGAGTCAGTGGAGCGACAGCAGCAGAAGCTCTGTGCGGTTTGCATCGTGGAATCCGGGTCAGAGCGGCGGCGGGGCCGCGCTGATCCTCAGGATGCAGTTTGCCGGAATAAATCTGACTCGGATTCACACACACACATAAAAAGGAAAAAAAGCTTGATGCTGGAAGCTCGGTTTGAACATGCAACCTTCGGCTGGTGTGACGCGGAGAGGGCGGCTATCGATAGCCGATACAGGCCGCGGAGGAGCCGCCGCCGCCGCAGCGCATAAAGCATCCGGAACGCAAAGCTGCAGGGCGGAGATCCACGGTATTGACAGCAGCCTAATCGGATACCCAGCTGCTGAGTCGAGTTAACACCCCTGCCTCCACATCACTTCCAAACTCCCCTCCTCCTCCTCCACCCCCCTCCGGTATCTTGCTCATTACTTAGGCCGACAACCGGGAAACAAACGGCGGCTGGCTGCTTATATCAACGCCGACCATCAGGCGCTTTCTAATCAAATTCTGCCAGCAATGAGAGAAACAGGAAAAAAAAGAGAGGAAGAAAAATAAGGATGGACCGCAGTGTGTCTACGTGCAGCAGCCCATCTGCTCCGCGTGCTTATTAATGGCCATGTGAAATCCCGGTTTCAGCACCTCCGCGCGTCTCCGGTGTCAACAATACAATAAATAACTAATAAAGGAAGAGCTTGAGGAAGAAAAAAAAAGAAAGCTTTTTTCTCTCTGTTTCCCCTCCCACTCGTCCTCTGTAGCATCACTTGGCGGTTTGCTGCTTCCTTTGCTTCCCTTTCATAATGTAGCCTAATATCAAAGCCTAATTAATAATCTAATACAGATAAAACCACGAGGACGTCAGAACCATGAACGAGTTCATCAAGCAAACAGTCCCATCCGCAGGTTTATATGGAGTCAGACTCGTTTAAAGGAGAAGAAGTCCGGGAGGAATTGTTGGTTGTCTGACTTTTACCATCATCCTCCATTAATACAAACGACTCCAAAGTTCCAGCCTCCGTCCATCTCACTGAACATCAGACGCTCTTAAGACTTCAGTTCTAACGTTACGGCGTCCGCTAGGGATCAATAAAGCAATTGATCATGTGTAGGATATAGATTGGCGTGAAGCTCACCCAGTGAAGGTTAAAACAGAGTGAAAACAGCAGATGTATATATGTATATTTTTGCAGTTCTTGGGAAAGGCCATTTCGTGTCTAAGAAACGAGGGGCTGTGTGTTGGATACATGGTGTGAGCGTGCGTGCGTCAGAATGTGTGTGTGAGTCCCGCTAGTCCTTGGGTTGGTCCTTGCTCTGTTTCTTCATCTTCATCCTCCGGTTCTGGAACCAGATCTTCACCTGCCGCTCCGTCAGGTTGAGCGCGCGCGCCACCTCGTGCCGCCGGTCCCTCGTGAGGTACATGTTGAACAAGAACTCCTTCTCCAGCTCGAGCGTCTGGTATTTGGTGTAGGGACACCGCTTCTTCCTGGAGGAGCGTGCATGCAGCCAGTTGGCCGAAGGGTCATCTGGAGGAGTAGAAGAAAGAAATAAGGAAGGCATTAAAATCGAATAAAAATAAATACACTCTGTAATTATGTTTAGTTGTGTTTTGGAACATGTGGCGAAACCCTCAGAACAACATCTCTCCGTGCGTAAAAGTTGGAGAAGCTTGTGCGTAAAAGCGTAGCTCCATAACACCTGACTCTGCAATTGACACTTTAGTGCGTAAACTCGGTTTATGGTGTCAACAGGGGCGCGCATTTGACACAAGTGGATTCATGGCAGTTTTATTTGACATCACGTGGAGGACAGAAGCCTGCTTCCTCCATGAACAGAACGTTTTAATGTGCACGATTTAGAGGACGGAATTATGAAACTATCATGTTTTTGTTATGTTCCTATTATCATTCCTGTACTCTCAGAATATGTGTGTTTGTAAATGGGACCAGTTTTTAGAAGCAGTTCAATGTTTCAAAACGAAACTAAATTCAAAATGTGTCAAAACAAATCAAACAAAAGCAAAAAGAAATTCAAAGTCCTGAAGTGGAGATGTGGCCACAGCCGCCGCTTTTATTTTATTTTTTATTGTTATTTTTGTTCAATCAGAGTATTTACTCGGTCTGATCTTTACGCTTATTTTTTTTAAATTTAAATACACAGATTCTTGCAGATGTAGGTGATTGTATGAAGAGTGTTTTTGTAACGTTGCACAGTCAACATTAAGGGAACTAAAGGTGATCGTTTTCTGTGAAGGATTTGTGATGAACTAAAAGCTGCATTTTGCTTAAAAGAAAAAAAACACACAAATCTTTCATCGTGGAAACTTTGGTCTAAAATAGTAAATAACGATGTTGTAGCGTGAATATGAGGCCTCTGAAATGTGATCTCCCTGTTTTCCACCGAGAGCAAATTATGAATTATCCGCTGTCATGGTTTTTCTCTTCTCATTCTCTCTCTCTTTTTTTTTTTTTCCTGCCGTATCGCTCCTCTTGTTTGCCAGGCCACCCTGGCTCCTCCATCCCCCCTTCCCACCACCCCACCCCTCTTTATAGCTTTCAGACCGATGTAATTAGCAGAGACTTCTTGTTTGGGACGCATGGGTCTGGTTTAGGGCTGAAAGCTATCTGCTCTTCCCCTCTGCAGAGAACTGAGGCATCTCAGCTATGAGGCAGCTTGCTGGGAGTCTCACGGCATTGAGGCTCTTAAAAGGACAATTGCACAAAAAAAGAAAGAAGACCATGAAGCCCTTTGCCTCATTTTGATCCCTTAAGCACTGCTTGTACTTGCACAATATTTGAATTTCCCTTAAAAAACAACAACCATAAAAACAAATTAGTGGAAATTCTGAAGAGGCCGGAGCTGTTCCTGCTTCATTTTCACTTTTCACATCTTCTAAATAAAACCTTTAACCGAGGCCAATTATTCCCTGTGGTTGGGTCAGGCTCCGTTTCCAGTCAGTCAAACCAACAAACAGACGCTCCCACTTTCTACAGTCTGTCAAATCAAAAACAAATTTCATGAAAAAGGTCAACCTTAAAAGTTCTGCTTCTTCATCGGGTGGAGTTTGTCCTTTCAGCTCGATGTAACAGCTCCAGCTAAATAAGGAGCAAGTTCTGAGAGCCATGAAAGGTCAAAGATGTAGAGAGCAGCATGCAAAGTGGAAAACACGACCACACTGGGATTAGCTGTTGTTCCTCCATGGCATTTTATCAATGACTCCCTCCCAGTCAGCAGCACGATTCAAGGTCTGGAGCACAACCCAACATGTACCTCCAGGAGGGGATTCTGCTCTGGATTTATTGGTTAAAAAAAAAAAGAAAGTTGGTTTATGTAGAGTCACTGGCTGTTTTTGTTGTACTCGAGCTTTCCCAGGGCGGTGGGAGTCAGGCTGAGTGAAACACGGCACACGTGTAACCCAACCATCAGGGTGAGTTTTGGAATAGAAGTTCCATCTAAATCAGTTTGGGCAGTTTTCAGGCCAAAGAGCTTCTTACTGAAGTCTGACTGCACATAAAGAATAAAACAGTGAGATTTATCCCGGACCGGTTCAGGTCTGCAGGGCAGAGAGGTGATAAAGAGTTCTGTTCATATGTTAAACGCAGCCGCAGCCGTTTGGCCTAAAATGGCAGAAGGGATGATCTCACAGGTCATGGGGGGAAAGACTGAGCTTCAGCGCCTCCTTTAACGCCAGACAGGGAGAGTTCAGATGTGAGTGTTTCCCTGCCTGAGGAGCCAGGCACTTCCCTCACTAAGCTTGGGTGGAGACTTCATCTGTCTTCGATTCCGATGGTAATATCTGGTCATATTTTACTACATGACAATCATATTTTCATCAACTGCTAATCACATCCATGACAATGTTTTTTCTTCTTCTTTCTCCCACTTGTGTACAAAGAAGGATTCTGTGTGGCACCAGCAGCATTAGCTTCTTGTTTGATCACATTCATGTGGGTTTAAGAGGCTTTTATGCTAATGTGAAGCTTCCCTTCCTCATTGAAGTCCGTTTCCACCAGGAAATGATGTAAAACATGCTCAAAACCAGCCAAAAGTTTGATTTAAAGTCTTTTTCTGAGTATTTTAAGTTTAGAACAACTACTTTTTATTGACTCTTTTCGTCACGTTTGAGATCATTTTGACCTAAAATGTCTTAATTTCGACTAAGACGACTTGTTTTCTTTTCTTCAGACCCGTCGTTTTTCCCGTGAGGCGTGCATGTGATTGGATGTCCTCTCTGCGGTCCACAACCTAAATCTGTGCCCAGTGTTTACTAATGTAGTTATTCTGATTAGCTTTATTATTATGCGTGTAGATGGTTAACCAAGTTGAACAAAACCTGTTTGGAGGGAAGGTTTTGACGTCACTCCTGACCTGTTATTTTTAATCCTGTTATCTTGTGTCAGCCATCATCCATCCTCAGGGTTTTATTTGCTATTTGGGCTCAGCATGTGAATTCAATGATCAAGATCAGGGCAACAAAAGAGCTCCCTCATGGTGGAAATCCTCGATCTGATTCCTCCAACAAAACTGTAATCAGCTGATCAATGAGATGTCTGTTCAGCCAACGCTCAGCCGCATAAATCTCTCAGATCGAGCAGGAGGGAGGTTTGTTGTCATTTTATAAAGTAGAGAGAAGCTGCACGGAACACAAAAGTCCCGGCTGAGATGATGGAATAGTGTAACTAAGGACGTAAACCCCCCCAAACCTAAAAAAACCCCAGAATTAGCTGCTTTAGATCCACCAGAACAGGCGACTCTGTGGGGTCAGTCCATAACTGGGAATAAACCCATGATGAAGCCTCACATGCTCACATGTGGCTGGCAGGACTACAGATATCTCGTACCTTTAGTCACTTTGTTGCAGGAATATGTTTGTTGTTGTGTTTCTGCTGGTATGAAACCAGCAGATGAGATGCAGGAGACTTTGGAGGAAGGTTGCGAGGCCAAGATGGCAGCCAGAGACAGACTCAGCATCACCTCAGCCTCTGCTCCTGAGTGGATCTGACATGAGATAGCCTCGCCTGCATCCGTCCGTCCGTCTGTCCGTCCCGCCAGCCGAGTTATAGTTAGCGGCCATCATCAGTAAATACGTCCTTAATACCCCCTGGAATCAATTTCCTCCAACATGGCCAGCATGTAGAGGATCGATTTCATCTCAGGGTAAAATAATGCCCGGTAAAGAGGTGGCGGTGGGCCGGGGGGGAGCGGGGAGAGGTAGAGGGGCGCGGCGCTTTTGTCACATGGTTAAAGTGGGTGCTTTGCATTCCCTGGGTGTATAATCACCTTCAGGACCATCCATTACCCTCGGAGCCGCGCCGCCACCGCGGCTGTCACCCAGGATGACAAACCGGCGGAGGGGTGGGAGGGTGGCGGAGGGGAGTTGGGGTGCTCTTTCTCTCCAATGGGTGGGAAGACAGAGAAGATGATGATAGATAGAAAGAAAGAAAAAACCAGGGTGGAGGGGAGGGGAGGGCTGTTGTAGCTCCTACAGTCCAATCCCAGAGTTCTCTGGAGGCTACAGGCGTGTCGCTGCAGTCTGCACATGGACGAGCACACGGATGGACAGATTGATGTCCCGCTGTAGCCCTGCAGCGCGCCGCCTCCACCGCTGGCCTGTGTGTCTTTGCCCGGCGTCCACCTTGATGAATGTCTGGGAACAGTGACCGAAGCGGCTACAAGACTAATATCACGTCTCTTCCACTGTCTCCCCCCACCTCCCCTCCCTCCCCCCGCCTTTGCAATTTCACCCTAATAGATCCAGAAATTGACCTCTCATATCCCAAAGGCACGTTATTACATTTCCCAAAGTCGTATTTTATCCACCCCCCTCCCTCCCCCCCTCGTCCCAATACCCCGTCCACCCCAACCTTTACACCCCATCTCACCCAGCCACCAACAGCAACACGCCAATTAATGGGGTTGTTCACCCGCCGTTATAACTTAATAAACTTGGGGGGTAATAACTTTCTCGCTCTGCCCGGCAGCAGCAGCAGCAGCAGCACAAAGACTGAAGTGTAATCTTGTAGTTTATTCTGGATGGCCGCCCAGCACCAGCGACACAAAGAGAAATCTGTAGCTGGATGCTGGCGCTAGCTGGACGCCGTGTTTTGGGAGGTGTAGGATTCCAGGGATGTTCACACGGCAGCCATTTTGAACACATGCGGAGGGAAACTCAGCCGGGCTCTCCCCTGCTGCTCAGGCAGATAAATCACGCCCAGACTGTGTTTTCTCTCAGATTCTTTACTGAAAAGTGAATCAGGCCTGAATCGGAGGAGTCTACGGTGACGGTTTAGTAAATCTGAGCTCCTATCACAAATTGAAACATCCTGCCTTCCAGCTGGGCTGCTGCTCGGAGCACCTGGCCCTCACAGCGCCCTCGTTTGATCAGATTTACCGGTTCGGAGCTGGAGAGCTTCTGGTGTTGACAAAAAACAACATTTTGTTGGGAATGTTTCGCTGTTTGCCAGAATGTATGAGGCTCCGGCTTATGCGCCGCCGCCGGGCTTCGTGAAACACCAGAACTCCTGATCAGAACAGAAAAAAGCTCAACTTCCAAAACCCTCTGCCATGCTGAAATGTTTTGCAGGCCGGCGGCTCATAAAGTCAAAGTTCTCGGTGGAATCTGGCGGCGGCTGAATACTACATTGTCAGGCCACTCATGTGAGGAGCGAACAGAGCTCAGAGTACGACCCAGTGTGCTGACGCTGCAGCTTCAGCTCTCAGACTCTCCAACATGATTCTGGACAAAATGCTTCATTCTGCTCTAAGTCTCTGTCTTCATTTAAATGGCTCTGTGTTCAGTTGTCACACTAGCGGCGTGCCCTTTGTGCTCTTTTTGTGTGACAAGCAGGATTTCTAGATTTTGAAATACTTTGTAGGAACAGTGGAGAAGTTTTTCTGACTTTGACACAGCAGGGCCTCCGTGGACACCTCATCCACACAAAGTAGAACATGTCAGTGAGCTTTGGAGGAGCTTCCCCCCCGTTTCCAAACTTAATGCTAAGCTAACTGGCTACTAGTTGTGGCCTTATAGTTATGTTTCAGACGTTAGAGTCCATCCCATCATCCCATCACGACAGCAAATAAGCAAAATGTTAAACTATTAATTTAACTTAAGCTGAGACAGAGCGCCGGTGTGAGCGAGTCCTTCCAGATGGACAGAATCAGATGAACAGTGAATATGGAGACGACTCTTCTGTTGGATCCTAACATTTAGTAACAACACTAGCTTCAGACTGTAGTCTGTATTTCTGGTCACAAAGTGACCAACCTGAGGTGACCAGCGTGCTGCAGGACTGCCAGCTGCACAGTTCTGCACCTACACAGTTCAAAATGGCCGCCCTGTGAACAATAGAAACAGGCCTTGTTTTCTATTTTCCTGCTGCTCTCTGGTTGGTGCAGCTCCCACTACCTGCCACACCAACCCGCTGCAACACAGACACGTGGAAATACAAACCACAAGAAGAAGAAGAAGAAAAAACTGCTGAGCCTTTAAAAGAGCTGGGGGATTTTCTTTCTGATTTTTTATTTTAGCTGTTGCCCATTTCCACAGACAGGCCTTCACGACCACCAGGCCAGACTGGGACACACAGTGTTACTGGTGGAAAGTCTCATAATTCAGACTGGGGGCTGCTGGGCTCCATCCAGCTCTTAACCAGCTCTCTGCTCTGATGGATAGCGCGCTCACATGCTGTAATAAGGTGGCTGAGTGTGTGTGTGTGTGTGTGTGTGTGTGGTGCCCGTGCAGTCATAAAGTGTGTGTATACGTGAGCGTGTGTAGGGTTTGTAATTTGTATTTCTTCTCCTGAAAAGGCCAGTATGGAGGTGGAAGCCTCCCCTCTCTCTCCCCACGTCTGTTTTCTGGCAGTGCGCGCACACAGCAGACGGATGGATCAGACTCCTCTGGCACTGTTAGATTTATCAGCCGGGATTAGTGCAGGGAAACAGAGCCCGTTCACATCCAGCACAATCTTTTTTCTTCTTCTTTTTTTTTTCCAGAAAAATCTAATGAATATCTTTCTGGGGAGCGCGTTTCTGTCCCACCCAAAAAATAAGTCAAGAAGCGTTTTTTTTTTTTTTTGTAAGGAGCTCAGCCGCCACACATGATGGATTAAATGTTGTTGTTAGTGCGAGCGATGGTAGAAAAACAGAACAAAGCCTTGTTCTAGTGGCCAAACCTCCACGGCTCTACATCAACGTGATTGCGACCCGTGGCAGGTAAAATATTATGATTATTACAGAGCAGATGAATAAAACAGCAGCTCACAGGCGACCGTGTGAGACTGTAGCAGCAACCCAGAGGAGGGCGCGGGAGCGTTTAGTCCAATAAATATCCAATAAATATCCAATCAAATGCAGCTTCAGTCACTTTAAAAGAAAGAGAAAGCAGGCTGCGTTCATTTCTACACTGAATGATAATTTGGTAGAATTTAAAAAGCGCGTCAGAAATCCCCGATCACGACCTCTGACATCCACTTCCCTCCACATGCAAACAACACACGCTTCACTCCTCCACCTCTCCTCCAGCTACAGCTTGAAACGCCATCACGCGCCGCGGTGGGATTTCCGTGACCCTCCGTGTAGATTTATACGCGCTTTTAGAGTCCGCGCTCTCCGTCCTCACTGTCCCCCTTTCCTCACATGTGAGCCTCGCACAGCGCAGTGAGTCCGCGCTGCAGGCTGAGTTATGAGGCCTCTGCTCTATTGAGAACTAATCTAGCCTGCTCTGCTGCTCCGAGCCGCCCAGGTCAGTGATGGACGGCCCCGCTCCTCTATGATTTTGATGATTTTTTTTTTTTTTTGAAGGAGGAAGAAGACGTGCAGAGGTTCAGCTGATGGAGCGCAGCGTGTTGTTTGGAAATAACAGATTGGATTATTATTATTAATATTATCATTATTATTATTATTCTGAGAGCAGATTGAGGTTAAATATGACACATGCACAACTCCTCCTCCTGAGAAATGCGCACACATGTGTCCAAAGCCTAACCAGAGCAGAGAATAGTGTGTGTGTGTGTGTGTGTCTGCCACATCAGGCTCTCCAGCGTCACCTCATTATACGACTGGTTACCCCGACCTACACCACATAATCCGGCCTGTCCGGTGCAGCGCCGGCGGAGCTCCGGAGCTCATCTATCCACATTGTATTGACTGTTCGTTCGTGCGTAAAGCGGTGGGATAAGGAAGCCGAGGTGGCCTAGGACGCCTCCACACCAAGCATCCTGAGTGGAGACGCGTTCAGCTCAGATGGGACACTTTGTTACAGAGCGACTGGCGCGAGGAGCTTTAAAAAGCGACGGAGCGCAGACACGAGCACATGTGTGAGCGTGTGTGACGGAGATAATGAGAGTCCTGTGATCTATAAGGTACCTGCAGTTAGAAAAAAAATAGACAAATCTGAAGGTAGGCGCTTTTTAACGGGGACACAAGTGCGCATGTCCTGACGGTGTGGAGGTTACCCAAACTGAGCAGCTCCTCTGGTCAAACTGGGACATTTGATTTCTGATTATTATTTTTGGTTTGTTTTTGATTTATTGCTTCTGCTCTGCCGGTATTTAGATCATATACCTTCCGAGCCCCTCGCTGTAACTTTAACGGGTTCCAGACGCACCAATCATTTCTCTTCAACAGCCTCCATAATAAAGGTATATATTATATATATTATATTTATTATATCTCTCTGAACGCGGAGCCGTGGAGCAGCTTTATGTGTTTAACTGGGCTTGTTGCCAGGTGATCCAAACCCTCCATCCTGTCACTCACTTGTCTTCTGGAGATGCAATAACAGCTTAATGCAAATACTAAAAACGACCCAACAGCCCCCTGAGTTCTGTTCAGACTATGTGAGGACACCAGTTCATTTTTATGCCTTTTTATAGTTTATGTTTAAATTATATTTGAGGTTTTTCCAGTTATTTTTTCAACCATTTACCAGTTTTTTAAAAGTCTGTGTTACTTTAGGAAACTCAGAGGAGCCACACAGCCTGTTCATCTGCTCTGTCCGTGCAGCCTGCGCGTCTCTCCAGTGAGCAGCACCGACACGGCCACGATACGAGCTAAATATCTCAGTAAACTTGGAGAGCAGAAGGTGGGGGCTCTCCGGCTCTCTCCGGCTCTTTGTTCTTGTTTTATGGCGGCATTAAAAGCATTTACAATCTCCCTCTCCGCGCGCTCTCGCTCCCTCTCCCGCGCCCCGTTTCCTGCTTTAATAACTTACTTTGATCCAGGCCGTCTTTGTCCTCACTCCCTTCACAAATGTCCTTATTTTCCTCGAACCCTGCTCCCGGGATGGCGCTCGGATGGTGGCTCAGCTCTCGCGCCGCCGTGGACGTCGACTCCAAGATGTACGTGGTGGTCTCGTGTTGGTGCTGTCCGCCGATTTTGGGTGGGATCTCTCCTCCGAGGTGGCCGAGCTGCGGCTCCAGCTTGACCTGCCCCGTTTGGCCCTGCCCCGGGACGGACTCGGAGCCGCGCGGCGCGCAGTCCAGCCACGAGCGTATGTACCGTGTGTCCGCGGCGGGCACGTGCTGGGCTGGGATGTAGGGGTGGTAGACAGCGGGGAGGCCGCTGGCCCCGTGGTGAGGGCTGAACGGGCTCCAGGACGAGGAGAAGACCGGAGGCTTGGGCTGGAAGCTGCAGGATGGATAGGACTCTGGATGGGGATGCTCCGCCTGCGCAGCGCCGCCGGGCAGCCTCCCGCCCGCGGCCGCCGCGGAGCTGGAGCCAGAGTACTGGACGCTGGGGAAGCGAGCCGGGGCTGAGAGTTCATCGCTCTCGTGACTTATGATGGAGTCCACGTAATAGTTGCTCAAAGTCCCAGAAATGGACATTCTCGGACATTATCTGCGAAACGCCGCGAGTTCACTAAATGGAGAAGAGAGACATTACGAGATTTTCCTCTCTTTCCTTCTCTCTCTCTTTTTCTTCTTCTTCTCTTCTGTTCTTTGCGAGCTCGCCCCCTCCCTTCCTCTCTCTCTCTCTCTCTCTCTCTCTCCCTCTCTCTCCTCGAGCCCCCTTCCTTCCAAACAACTTGCTCACTACAGCGAAACAAAGTGCTACAGCCTCCAGCCCCGCACGGCGCGCGGGGGTTTGTCGGCTCGGTGCGAGAGGCGCAAACTGATTGGCCGGACTTTTTCTTCGAGCCTGAAAAAGCGTCAATGGAGCGTAAATCAATCGTGCACACGCGCCCCCCTCCTTATTCTCTCTCTCCCTCCCTCTCTCTCCTCTCTCCGTCTCTCTCTAATAGATTGCCTCCTTCTAAATAAATTGTCTTGTTTATATGCAATATGCAAAATGAACAGTCCGCGCGTATATCTGCTCTGTGTATCTATGGCTGCTGTCAGCCCGGAATTATAGAAAACCGTTAAATTATGCGTCGTCTGGACACTGTGCATGAAATGCAAAGTGGAGACAATGGCTGACAAATAAGTGGCGCCATTATTTTTTATGTATTTATCTTTTTTTTTTAAACTAAGCAAAATAGATGCGCGTGTGTTTCACTGTGAAGCTGGAAAAAAAAAAAAAACGAATTAGTGAGAGAACATCCACTCCTGCTGAATTGTGCACAAGCAATCACTTAAATCAATCCAGCATCAGGGAGTGTGCATTTAAAACACCATTAGTATCAGCACCAGTAGTCCCACACTTAAGCAGAGATATCTTCCATCCAGGACAAGATAGATGGTAGAGCTCGCACCCAGGTATGTTTAATTATTCACCCGCTTTCTGGGTCCACTTGGAGGCTTTTCTCTGAGCCGTGAGCCGCTCCACTCTGTTTTTATTGACAGATTAACAGTCATTTTTGTTAACGAGCGCCATTAAATCGGGTCCTGCGTGGTTATGCCGCTTGTCTTTACAGCGCAAACTACTTCAACTACTTTTTTTGGGGTCCGTTTAATACCATAATAAAATCCTACATCAGGGCGGCTGCTTTAGTTTTATAGGGCTGATATATGGCCTGTGGTGGTGCGGACCGTAAACGCGACTGAGGCTGCTGCAGCCTTCCTGCCTGCCGGCCGGGCGGCTGAAGGGCGCTTCTCACTCATCGGTCAGGCTGCCACGAGCAAGCACGGCTCGGACCGGAGCTCGGTGGAGGCACCGGGGGGATCTGCGCTGCCGGTGTCCGCCCGTACACTCACCCAGCAGGGTCTGAGGGATACAATCCGTCCGCTTTTAATGAGGAGACTGGAGACGCAGCATCGCTGTGGACTGCTCAGACATTTGACTTCCATCTGACCTTTGTCAAAGTCACCGGGATTGTAAGTCTTTATATTTCTTTATAATTATCACAGACGTGGAGCTCTGGACTCTTTGGAGATGGCAGGCTGCTGGTCGGGGCTATAAATCCAATCTGTGCGCCGCATATTCAGCCAACACCGTTATTTACGACGATTAAATATGAACTACACATTGCTTATGGGGTTAACGTGATTATTTACGAGGCTGAAGGTGGACTGCAGCGCAGCTCTCAGATCTGCTGAGGAGGACCAGAGACTGGCTGGTGCGTGTTCACTTCAGGAGCAGCGACACAAACCCAAACCAAGAATCCTTTAAACATCAGTTGCGACTCTGGCGCCCAGCTTTGGCCTTTGAGCTTGAATTCGCCACATTCCTCTGTCCTTCCGTCTTAAAGGACCTATTTCCAGCTCATCTGGAGAGCTTCCGTTGAACTACAGCGACTCATAGAAGCCTGGCTGAACACTCTGAAGTCCGCTGAAGGCTGATGTGATGGATGCGTCATCAGCTGTAGTTCTGTATAAAGTCACACCTTGACATGTAAGTCGTGGCCCTGATTGGCTCAGTCCGCAGCAGAAACATTAAATACGTGAGAATGTGTTGGTTGTGTGTTTTGTAGAGTCTCACTTTAGTGAAACACAAAATGTTGAATCCAGTGTTACAGCCTGAGTATCAGACCTTTAGCACGAGAGTCCTGAACTCTGCGCGGCGTTTCCGACATGTTTAGAGGACAAACCCACTTTGTTTTGCAGTCGTAGATGCTCGGGATATTTTTCAGTCAAGATGGCCTCTGCTCAGACCGCAGGCTGTGGGAATTTTAATTTTCGGAGGGCCTCCGCCCTGCAGGCCGGGCTGCCAACCAGACAGCGCGTTAATTGGAGACACTGGCGCTGAAAAGCTTGAAGACATTATCTGCAAACCACCTTCATTTTCTACACGTTGCCTCAGTGCTGTGACAGAAGACGTTTGAGACAAAGACCCCCCCACACACACCCCCACCCCCCTCCACACGCACACATATTCATAATTAGTGCGCTGACGATGAGAAATGCGTGGGGCTCCTTCAAAAAAACAAAAACAACATCCTGAGTCTTGTTCCACTTAACTTTGGCCACAAATTCAAAAATGTCCAAAATCATGAAGTTAAGATATTTTTCCATCAGTCACATTTTTACGCACAGGAACCGGTCCTTGGCTGCCGGTACCGCGTCCTGAGGGCTACATGCAGGCTCCAGGTCGCTCTGTTTTATTTCCAGCCACGTTTTTAAAGCATCAGGGAAATTCACACCAAAGTTCTCGGATGTTCATTAAAACGACTGTGACTAAACAAATCCGCGCAGAGTGTTTCAGGTTTACAAGCCGCCAGTAAAGGTATTTACAGAACAATAAACGGCCGTGACAGCGTCTCCTGCTCTGTTCCAGGCTCCGATTCAATATTAATCCCCTCATAAGGAGCCGTTGAACAACCATAAAACGAGCTGGATCATTAAAAAGAATAATTTATGCAACTCGTGAGCTCCTCATAAAGAATAGCTAACATTCCAGCATTGCACGTTTTTTCTTTTTTTGTTTTTTTCTCACAGATTTTAAATTACCGAGGCAACCCTGTCAGGAGCCGAGGCCGCCATCATCTCTGTTGATTTGAAATACCGACGTGAATTCTAGGTGGTAATTTGCTTTTCCTGGAGCGAAAGCTTTCATTTCCACTAACGGACCTGAATTTAGAAGGCATAAATTTAGGATTTATAATTAGCTCTATACTTATCCCAAACTCACGGCTTGTTCTGTTTTGGAGGTGATATATTGTCTGGGCTGCAACACGCCCTGAACGGAGAGCTCAGCGCATTAGAATCAATTAGAAATCTTATTTTACCTTCAAGATCTGTTCTATTGTTGTGTTTTTACTTTGCTGTGGAAGAAGCTGTAAAAACTAAAACATAAAACGTTCCGGGACAGATTCAGATCGAATGTCTCCTTGACGGGATTTTAAATGTTTTTAATTTTAAAAAGAAAATTCAGATTGTGGAACAAAGTAGATATGAAGATATGTTTTTAAATAACTAATTAAGACGCAGTCATTTAGATCCAGAACAGTTTATTATTATTTAAAGAAGGGCTCATTTCAAAAGATTATTTTAAACTCAGTAACGTATCTGTGTGTGAGTGCTGCTTTATTATGATATTAAATGAGACATAAAACGCAAACAGCCTTTTAAATATTTAAATATAAAATTTATAATTTAAGGAACACAATCGAAATCCTGTTTTTGGCTTTATGGTGTTTTAAACTTTGGTTGTTGTGATGCGTAAAAACTGCTTTAAACCCTCTTTAATAGTCAAATGTTTAGTTTTATTTATTTATTTATTTTTTAAAATTAGTTTTTCATTTTATAGTGTTCTATAATTCAAGGCTGCAGAGCTGAATCTAAAACTTGTTGATTTAAAGTTCTTTATGTATTTTAAACAAACAGACAGATGACGTCAGATCCGGTGGTCTGTTCGTATATGTTTTATAATTTATATATTTAATTCAGTTTGTTGGAGAAGTGTGTGTGTCCGACATTCATTTAACAGCAATAGTTAAAAAAGGAACACACACACACACACACACACACACACACACACACACACGGCATATGCAGTAGCTTAAATATAATTGTTTATTATTATTTTAAATATACGTTCTGCTCATTACATCATATTGAAGTCTGGATGAATTAATGAATTAAATTCTAGTATCTGATAAAAGTACCTGATGAGGAGGGATCCAGGCTTCTGCTTAATAAACCCTCACACCACTAATTCCTTTAAATCTAATCTGCATTCTTGGCCAATATTTACCACAACACCAACTGCGCTCTAATAAAACAGTCATTTAACACTTACTAATGTGATTTGCAGTGACTGATCCGGGCGTCACATTCTGATGAAAAGCCGCCGGTTGTTACCTCACAATAAAACCTATCGACTATGATAACCTGTGTGATTGATACGAGCTATATATTTTAATAACGGCCCCATGCCTGGGCCTCATACATCATGTACAGCATCATATTTCTCAGCTGAAAAGCTTGAAGAGGCTCCAGGCATTCTCCCCGAGCCTCTTTACGGCTCAGATGGTAAAGTTGTCTTTGTAAATGAAGTCAGTGGAGAGTTATTAAAGGCCGGTCCTCCACGGCGCGGGAAGCGGGAACGCGTCGTGACGTGGGACGAGCTCTCAGCGACAAGAAATGTCCTGAGACGCATCTCGGCACCGGGTCCAGCTGCTGTGGACTCCCTCTTTGTGTGTGTGTGTGTGTGTGTGTGTGTGTGTGTGTGTGTGTGTGTGTGTGTGTGTGTGTGTGTTCTTCTTGAACGCTACCTCCAACATTTTGCATCATCTTGCTTCAATGAAAGCCTGCTTTATTAAACTCTCTGCTGGATGAGGTCTTTTATGTCCAGGGACGCTGTCCTCCTCATCCAGCAGTAACCACAAACACATGCGTGCGCAGATAGTGGAGCTCCTCGCTGCAGTGTTCCCCTGTTCGGCCCAGACATGCAGGTCCAGCATCATGTGCGCTTTAGGGCTTTATTCAGGCCTAATGTGTTCCACATGCAAAGATAATTTATTTGTTACTGAGGAAAATAATGAAAGAACACACTCATAAATTTAGACAATCTGGTCTAAAACAGGCGGTTCTGTGTCCAGGAGCCACTCGCCGTCCTGTGAGTTCAGCACCGCGCTGCAGGAGCTTTAGTTCAGGGACTG